CTCTTTATTTTCCTTGGATTTGGGAAATAACCTCAGCCCATCTTTATCTTTTTTGACATTGACTTTTTTTTAACAAACCTAGACCAATTTTATCAAGAATGTTCTTCAATTTGCATCAGTTTGATGTTTCCATGTAGGTTTTTTCAGATTTTGTATTTTTGCTAAGACTCCCACAGAGATAATGCTTGTCTGTGGTAGACTGATTCCTGCCAGGTCCTCCTTCAAGGGAGGAATTGTTGCCCATCTGCAGGGAGAGTGGTCAGGAGATGGCCTCTAGCAGATAATGTCATCATCATAGACCTCCACCTCAGAGAACCAGCTAGTATAATGTCACACCCATTTCAGGAAAGTCTAGTAGCTCTGAGACAGGAATATATAACAGCTTCACCATCTGTCTGGAGATATAGTTCAGTGGTAGAGCACATGCCTACCATGTGCAAGGCCGTGGGTTCAACCCATCATACCACAAAAAAACCAAAAGGGGTACAAATACATCAGGCACTTGAGGTGTGTGATAAATAGAGTAGCTTTAAGGAAAATATTTAAGGTAAGTTGATGCTTACTGCTTACTTCACTGAGGCTGTACATAGAAATGTAACAATCAGTTAAGGGCAACCAAAAGGCAATTGGAAACCAAATGTGAAGCTAGAGGACAACTGGTCATATTAGAAAAAATATTTGGCTTTATTTTTATGTGGATGTGTGTTTTGCCTGCATGTACGTGTACCACATGTGTGCAGTGCCTGTGGGAGGTCAGAAGAGTGTGTTAGATCCCCTGGAACTGAGGTTATGGGTGGTTGCTAGCCATCATGTGGGTGTTTGGAACTGAACCCAGGTCCTCTGCAAGAGTAGCCAGTGGTCTTAACTACTGAGTTATCTCTCTAGCTCTTCTGGCTGCATTTTTTTTTCAAAGTTCATCTCTGGCAGGGGCCACTGAAAAAGATGAAGAAACCCAAGACTTATAAGGCTAAGAGCTTATAGAAGTGGATTTTTATGCCATGTCAGAGTCCTGGTTGGGAAACATTGGTAGGAAAATAGGACACATGGAAGGGGGTCATGTGAAGAGATAACTATACATGCTTGGCACCCCCTTCCCACTACAGTCTCCTCTGAGCTTAACAGCTTCCCCCATATTAAGAGCTTGTAAAGATAACATGCCAACATGTGTCCTTGTCTCCCCTTTTAGTCACTGTGTCTATAATGAGGGCTAAGTCATAGTATAACCCCACTGAGGACAGTGGGCTTTACATGGAAGGAAAGATGCTATATATCAAAGAAGGTACAAAAACTAGGTGACATGCCCTAGAAGCAACTGGAGGAGTGTACTTGTGACTATGCTCTAAGGGTGCTTAATTTAGAAAGCAGAGAATAAAATTGGATAGTGAAGAGTTTATTGACTAGGGACACTCTCTTGAGATGCAAGATTTAGTACCTTGAAAGAATTTAGGATGCCAGGAGGTGATATGAATTCACTTCTTCATGTATTGGAAAGTGATGGTCCACATAGTGGAGCTGGAATGGCCAGCCAGTGCCAAGCCATGGAGGGAGGGATTGAAAGCAGGCATGGCATGCTGGAGAGGCATTCACTCTGCATGACTGGAAGACTTGACAGATGAGTATATTCACCTAGGCTGGAAGGAAGAGAAGGATCAGCTGACATGAGGGGACATTATTAAAAGCTTCAGTGGGGACTGGTACAGAATTTGGCTCCTGATATCATAGAACTCTAAACAAAGAGAGGTCAAGTAGCAATGCTTAGCCACCAAAATCTGAGGAGGGCCATGGTTATTCTATTATTTATTTATTTATTTATTTATTTATTTATTTATTTATTTATATGTGAGCGTATTGCTTGCATGTGTAAGTGCACCCGTGTTGTGTGATGCCCATGGAGGTCAAAAGAGGGCATTAGACCCCCTGGAACTGGAGTTATGGACAATTGTTAGCCACCACGTAGGTGCTGGGAACCAAACCCGGGTCCTCTGCAAGAGCAGCCAGTGCTTTTAACTCCTGAGCCATCACTCCAGCCCTGAGTATTCTATAATGATTGGCAAAGTCAGAGTGGCAGCAAGTGGTCCTGATGTTGGAACTGACAAATTTGACAGCAGTAGTATTCCCTTGCTCGATAGTGATTGAAAAACAACAGGAACAGTCAACATGACCTGAGAAAGTATTCATGATCAGGGGCTCCACTCCTGAGAATCTGGGTCATGCCACTGAGTGAGACATTGGGGCCAGCAGATTGGATGACTAAAGATGTAGCACATCTAGAACGAATAATGAAGGAGAGTTGCTTAGCCAGCCCAGATAGCAGAAGAAAATACCACAGATGGTGATAAAACAACAGACATCTCTTTCTCACAGTTTTGGAGGTTGGAAGTCCAAGATCAAGGTGCCTACATGGTCAGGTTTGGGATAGAACTCTCTTTCTGGCTTGGAAATGGTTACCTTCTGACTATCCTCACATAGTGGGGAAAGGGTATATGTGATGGTTAATCTTTATTGTCAACCTGATTAGATTTAGAATCACCCAGAAGATTCAGGCATACCTCTGGGTGTGTCTGTAAGGGTGTTTCCAGAAAGTATTAGCTGAGAGGAAATACCCAGCTTGCATGTGGGTAGCACCATCCCAAGAGCTAGGGATACTAACTGAATACAAAGAGAAAAAAGAGAAAGCCAGATGAATTCTCAGTTCTTTGCTTCCTGACCCACAATTACAAAAACTATTTTACCATACCCTCTCCACCACGATGAACTGGCACCCACTGAAACTGTGAGCCAAAATAAATCCTTCCCCCTTTAAATTGTTTTTGTCAGGTATTTTAGCCACAAAGATGAAAAATAAATAATGGTGGGAGGATGTACTTAAAAAATGTATTTTCCAGGCATGGTGGTGTGTGCCTTTAATCCCAGCTCTTGGGAGGCAGAGACAAATGGATCTCCTTCTTTCTAGGATCACAGTTTCACCATGTTTGATTCATTCAATGCCTGCAAACACTTGTTTCAGTGGTCCTGTTTTCTACTGATGGTGATAGTCTTGTCATATTTGTGTTGAATTACCCTTACTTATTTGTGTCTGAATTACCCTTACCATTTTTAAGATTTAGCCTTTGTACTGAATAATAAAACACATACTGAAAAATTACATAGATCACAGGCACAAAGATTGGTGAATTTTTGTTAATTAGACATACCACATAACCAATGCCAGATCAAGAAGAACAATAATGTTCCATTTCAAATATTAATACCTCCTAATGGTAACCAATATTCTGCCTTCAATAACCATACAATATTTTTGAACATCATGTAAATGAACTCATGTAATATACACTTTGTGTCTAATTTTTTTCATTCATTTTTATGATTGTTATGTTCATGCATGCTTTATGTATAGATACATATTATTTTCCCCTTATATTATGTGGATATTCTAAAATTTATTCATTCTATGAACAATCTTATACATATGAATACCTTTCTGTTAAATGTATATCTTGCAGTGGAATTGCTGGGTTAACTCATTTTAACAATCGCCAAATATATAATTAGTCTAGATCTGTCCTCTGAACTTCAGCACACTTATTCAAAACCTCTTGATGGTCCGATTTTATAAGTATCTCAAATTTAACATAGCACCAAACATCTGCTACTCTTTGTGAATCTGTGAGTGGCTTCTTAACCCATCTAATTACTTAAGGAGTTATCTTTAATATTCCTCTTCTCTTGACCTTTCCCAGAAAAATCAATCCATCAAGTTCCTTGGATTCCACCCCCAATTTATTCACATCTTGAAATTATTCACCTCTTCTTGTTCCTACTGCCATTATCCTAGTTTAAACCACCACTGTTTATGACCTTGACCAATACAACTGCCTCCAAACTGGCCTATCAGTAACGCTTCTTCCCCTCTACCAATCTATTCCCCATAAACAGCAAAGTGGGCTTTTAAACATGAAAATAGAATCCTACTTAACAGTCTTTATTAGCTCTTATTTGATCTCAGTGTATCTTACACAGTATAGTCTGAAATGTATAAAGTAGCCAAAGAGATCCAGCCTTTGTTTTATCTCGGCCTAAACTTCTTGCTCCTACACTCCAGCCATACAACTGCCTTTCAATTTCTAGAACAACCCAAGTTCTTTAACCACCCAACCTCCCACGTCATGTTTCCTTAGCCTGGATTATTCTTGAAGGCCCCTTGCTATTCCTTGACTGTAAAAGACATTTATTGAGGGGGCTCTTCCCTGACAGTTCAAAATTATTAATTCATCAACATTGTATCCATTATTTTTTTTCACAGTACCTAACACAGTTTATATTTATGTAACAACTTATGCTTTAATGTCTCTTGCTTGTAATTGCATCTTAAATTCCATCGAGTGTTGTATACATTCCTGTAAACCAATGCCTAATATGGTTCTTGTTACTTGGTAAACCCTCAGTAAATGCTTGTTTGATGATGCAAGACCTCGCGAAGGCTGGTAGGGGCTACAGGGCCAGCACCTGGCATTTCTCTACTATAGTAAGTTTCTTTGTGCAGTGGCTGATGGGGGCAGGTCCTTCCCTTGCTTACCCAGAGGGAGCTTTTCCCCTGCCCGCAGTGTAACTATTTGCTTTAGAGCCGCGTATGAGAGACAAACTGCCTCCACACAGAGCATCAGGCGCGAGAGATTAACCTTATTTCCGAGGGATAGCATCATTCTGTCCTCAGAAGACTAGGCAATCTCTAGGCGCAAGTCCATGAGAAACTGCCAATCTCTTCTGAAGGGGGCGGGCCTGAAGGTGATCCCTGGAAAGGGGCGGGGTATTGGGTGCTTCCCACGGAGCCTGATTGGTCTGCTCGAGCTCCGGAGGGGTGGGGCTTGTCTCAGCCGGCGCCAGCCACGTTGGATGCTGGCAGCACCGCCCGGAGGCCACTCCCGGGCCCACAATGCACTGCGTGGCGCGTCACTCGGAGCGGCGGGTCCCGGCGCGACAGGTACGGCCCGGCCCCTCTTTCCTGTCTCCTCAGGGTCGCTGAGAGCGCTGCTCCCCCTCGTCCCTCATCGGCCCGCTGCTGGGTGCGCTGGCCGCGGAGTCCCGGAGGGCGGGAGTGCGGGGACCCGGTTCCCTGCTACCCGGGTCGAGCCGCGCGGTTTGCTGCTCGGCTGGCCTTCCGGGCATGGGCAGGTTGGTAGGGATGAATGACCGGGAGGGACAGTCACCCCGGGCGGCTAGCGAGCGCTGGTGGAGACTCCCTGGCCCCGAATGTCCGAAGCACACTGACCCACCTAGGCTGGTAGGTGGCCGGAGAAAACTTGTAGACAGGCGAGCTTGAACCAGTGGCTTGCTTAGCCATTTGTGGAGCTTGAATGAGCCTTGAGCTCAGAGATTTCGCCCTAGGTGGCTCGCAGAAACCCCCTGAAGCCCTGTTTAATGGCACTTTGGGAATCGATGTGGGTGAAAAGAGCCCTGAGTAATTGGCTCCACAAGTGGAGATCTCCGGAAAAGAAGGCCAAACCCGTGCTGCCTTGAATCTCTCTGCCAATCAGAGCAGCTTTAGACTTTTCTTCTGCTCCTTAGCTTCCCGGATCTTCATCACCTGGGGCAGGTGGACCACTTCAGAACTAGCCAGGACTTACTTCCCGTGCGTGCTTGACTCAGCTTAAGTAGAAAAGACCCAGAACGGCGCCAGTGTCAGCCACCACACTAGACCTGATGGAATCCCAGCTGATAGGTGGAACAACCACTTTTAAAAACTCTGAATCACTTTCCATGTTACTGATACAAATACGCCAGCATTATAAGAAGTTACGAAGTACCTTATCCGGCGCTTAGAACTTCTGGAATGTTAAGTAAGATTCAGAACTGAACTGACATCTGTGGCCGTGCCAGGCCCTAAGTTACTGAGACATCAGCGTGTTTCCTATTTAAAACCATCACATCAATCTAGAACTTTACTTTTGAGACTGATTAAAATTTATGTTTTAGGTTGGTTTATAAAAGAAACCCTCATCAAAGGGGTATTTGTGACTTTCCATGTAGTTGAGTAAGAAGTTTAGATATGTTTAGAGGCAATGCCTCAGAGTTATGAGAATTAGTTCTAAATTCAAGCCCCCTACTTACTAGTCTAGGAGTTAAATTACTTTAACTCTTGGGGCTTCAGTTTCCTCCAAGGCAAAATGAAACTAGCAATACCCACCTCACAGGTTACTGGAAGACTGAAATGAGTAGTATAAAATTTTTGGTCAATAGAGGGTAGGTAACCTGTCAGAATAACAAATACTAGCTGGGTGTGGTGGCGCATGCCTTTGATCCCAGCACTGGGAGGTAGAGGCAGGTGGATTTCTGTGAGTTCCAGGTCAGCTGCGGCTACAGGGAGACCCTGTCTCAAAAAGACCAAAAAAAAAAAAACCAAACAAACAAACAAACAAAAAAACTAACAAATACTTAGTATAGAAACTAGTAGATTATAAGACAGTGTCAGATGCTTTCCATGAGCTTTGGAGGTAGACACTCTTAGTATCTTAAAGAGATCCCCATGAGGTACTATCAGTAGCCATAGTTTAGAGGTGAGGAAGTTGAGGTTTACAAAGGCAAACCTCAAGATTTCATGACAGGTATGTGGTAGAACCTGGATTTGAACCTGGTCAACCTGGCTCTAGAATCTGGTTTCTTTTTCTCCCTCCCTTCTTTCCTCCCTCCCTCCCTCCCTTTGTGTGGTTTGTGTGTCCACAGGTGTGTATGAAGACTTGAAACTGGCATGTGTTGTCTTCCCAGATTGCCTGCCCCCACTTGTTGAGGCACGGTCTTTTTCTGAACCCAGGGCTTGCCAATTCCAGCCAGTCTAGCTGGCCAGCTGGCCCTGGAGATCCCATATCTGTTGAGATTACAGATGGCTGCCTGACCTGCCTGGTTTTTATGTGGGTTTGGTGGATATGGACTCTGGGCTTCAGGATTGTGTGGCAAGTGCTTTATTTACTGAACTATCTCCCCAACCTGAATTTGACCTCTTTAACCACCTTAGTGTGCTGCCTTTTAAACAAAAACTTGCATTGTTGATTAGACATTTATCCAAATTTCTTTCTTTTTTTTCTTTAACTGCTTTGGATACTAAGTCAAATTACTCTGGGATGAAGAGATTTAACTTTTTATCCTTAGAAAAAAAATTTACTGATAAATTTTATCTGATGACCTTTTAAGGATTTTGACAGAAACTATAACTGCTAGGTTCTGCTTTGTTTACTAGCCTAAAATATACATTGGGAATATCTGAAATACATGTTTGTCTAATTATAATTTTGCATTTAGTAAAATGTGAGCCAGAAAGCCTATGTCCTATTCATTCGTTTTGAAGATCTACTTTGGGATGATGTTTCTTGGTGGTAGGAACTATGCATTCCTGGTATTTGGCAAAATATCTAATATGTGGCGAATACTTAGTAAATGATTATTGAACTAGTAGAACTTACTAGTTGGTAATATACACGAATCATGTCTTTCTGCCTTTCAAGACATTGAGAAGAAATGAATAGGGCTGGAGAGATGGCTCAGTGATTAAGAGTACGTACTGTTCTTGCAGAGGACTGAGTTTGATTCTTAGTACCCATGTCAAGTAGCTCACAACTACTTGTGGATCCAATTCCAGGGCATCTGATGCCTCTGGCCTATGTGGACACTTGCATGTCTGTGCACATACCCACGCATAGATACACGCACACACACACACACACACACACACACACACACACACACCCCACATAATTAAAAATAAATTAAAAATTTTTTAAAATAACAGAAAAAAACGAGTAAGTGAAGACTACATGAAATTGGCAACTTATGAATGGAGAATACTCCTAATTCTGTTAAGATCCTAGAAAAGTCTGACGTAAAAGAATTTAGTTTATTTCTAAATACTAAGAAAGTGGGTATTTAGAACAATAAATCTCAACTTGCCTTCACACTAATTCCCAAGACATTGTGTTACAAAGTCTGGAAAGATGGCAGCTTTATAGCTAATGAGTACTTGTATATGAAGTAAGACCTTTTTTCTCTTTATACTGAGACTAAACGTTACAGTTGTGGTTTAATACATTCATTTGAAGATAGTGTGATATTTTTTCTTCAGGGAATCCCAGATTTCTTTGCCTGTTTGTTTGTTTGTTTGTTTCTCCCTCCCTCCCTCTCTCTTTCTTTTTTCTTTCTTTCTTTCTTTCCTTCTCTTTCTTTTCTTTCTCTCTCTCCCTCCCTCCCTCCCTCCCTCCCTCTCCTTCCTTCCTTCCTTCCTTCCTTCCTTCCTTCCTTTCTTTCTTTCTTTCTTTCTTTCTTTCTTTCTTTCTTTCTTTCTTTCTTTCTTTCTTTCTTCTTTCCTCTTTCTTCCAAGACAGGCTCCCCCAGTAGTCCTAGCTGGCCTGGAAAACTATGTAGCCAAGGTTGGCCTTGATCTCAAAAGATCTGCCTAGGATTATAAGGTGTGTACCACCATGCCTGGCTCTCCTGATGTCTTTTAAAAGTAAAAAAGAAAGTGGATGAAAAAAAGAAGAAAGAGTGGATGGAGAAAATACGTTGATTTGGATATGTAACATTGAAACACTAGTTTGAAGATTCCACTATTGTAAAAAGGCTGATTTAATTTGCTGTTGTTCTCCCTCCTCTTTTTTATTGATTATTTTCTGTATTTCATTCGGAACATCTCAAACAATCTTAATCATCTTTATACCCCCATCCCCACCAGCACCCTCCCATAGCCTCCCCCAACCCTCCACTGGAGCCCATATACTCTGTCATCCCTGTTACTGCCCACTGTGTTGTCATTGCCCCCAGCCCTTCCCCAGTGCAAGTCCGTCCCCTGAGTCTAGTCAGCCTATCTGCTGTCCCTTGTTTGGGGAAGATCAGCTCTTCATCTAGCAGCAATCAGTTGCCAACAGTCTTTTCGATAAGATTGGGGTCTGCTTTTCATTTTCTCAGTTCTATGCTGGGTTATTGTCTGCCTGAGTTTAGGACCCCTTTATTAAATTGCATCCACCCAAGGCTCAGGGACCATCGTGGAAGAGGGGGCAGAGAGATTGTAAGAGCCAGAGAGGATGTGCATGACTATATGGAAACAGAATCCTACAAGCTCCTGGGAACCTGCTCATATGATTCTATGCCGTAGGTGTCAGCATATACAAGTCCCTTTCCCCCTTTTAAATGATTATAGGACAGAAATGTTAAGAGTAATACCTAGAGGCTTCTTCCCTTCATGAAAAGGAGAAAAGGGAGTATTAGAGTTAATGTGTTAGTTTTGTTAGTTGGGTTAATTTTTATTGGTGGACTAGTTACTAACATGAGCAGCACATTTAAACATCATACAGCAATGAAAAGTATCAACTCCCGATTTCCAAAATTTGTACCAACTGATTTTCTATGGCATTTCTGTTCAACATATTGCTGTTTTTCATTTTCTGAATGGGATAATATTGACCAGCAAAAGTAGACAGTTAAAAACAGCTTCTTAGATATATCTCTGAATTTCTGAGTTATTCCAGTTGTCTTTGCTGCTAGTAAAGAAGGATGTAGTGATGTACTTTAATGATTTGACAGAGAAGAGTTACCACGTAACCTCAGATACTGAGCATATTTTAATGTAATAATTTTTTATGTTATGTGTATGAGGTTTTGCCTAAATGTATGTAAGTACAAACATGTCATGCAGTGCTCACAGAGGCCAGAAGAGAGCATAGGATCCCCTGGAATAGGAGTTATAGACAGTTAGTTAGCTACCATGTGGGTGCTGGGAACCAAACCTAGGTCCTCTGCAAGAGCTGTCAGTGTTCTAAACCACTGAACCATCTCTCCAGCTCCTAACTGAATAAATTTTTTAAAATATGGTCTTTATGCAATGTCCCTGTAGTCATGTTGGGAATTTGTTAAAACTGAAGATTCCCAAGGCCCACCCCAGTCATGGGAAGAATTTTGGTAGAGGAGGAAAGGCTAGATCTGCATTTCCATCCAAACTTCAAACTATTTATACAAACTAGAGTCTCAAGAATTTCTCTGTATTTTATCAAAGCTTGTCTATTTTCCTGATTTCTTTCATATCTGTGAAATCCTTTTATCTATTTTTGTAAAACATGACCAGATTTCAATTAAAGAGTCCATTATGAGTTACATTTTTTTGTACAAAGACTGAGAACACCATTAAAATCATACTCCTTTAGCTTTGGGATTTATTAAATATATATCAAGTTCTGGTAACGAGAGCAATGTGGGTCTATCATGAAACTTTGTGAGCATTTAGGAAGTTACACATAACAACCACCCATAATATTCTTTCCTAGAGATAAGTGTTGTTCTGACTTTGACCAATCTTTTTTTAGTCTCTCCATTTCCTCCTCTATTTTTCCTTCTCTCTTGTTGGCAAAAAAAAAAATTTTTTTTTGAGGCAGATCTTGCTTTGTAGCCCATGCTAGCCTCTCAACTTGTGAGCCTCCTGCTTCTGCCTTCCCAAATTTTAAAATTATAGGCATGTGCCACAGTACTTGTCAAAATGTACAGATTTTTTTTAAAAAACTTACCACATCAACATTTTGTACATTATTAAACCTTTTACTTCTATAAATATAATTTTTAGTTGTTACATTATATTATATCACAGATACACTGTAGTTTACTTAATCATCGTACATTGGATTTTTATGTTTTCAGTTATTTCAGTGTAAGTTTAAATTTTTATTTGGATTTCTGACTATTTTACATGGGGTAGGATTATATATTTAAATTTGTTGCTGTACATGATGGTGCATAACTGTAATCCCAGCATTCAGGAAGCTGAAGTAAAAGAGGATTGTTATGCGTTTGAAGCCAGCCTGGGCTACATAGTTCCAGGCCAGTCAGGGCTACATAGCAAGCACTATATATTTTTTTTTCACTTTGTGTGTGTGTGTGTGCACGCATGTGCGTGTGTGTGTGTGTGTGTGTGTGTGTGTGTGCGTGTGCGTTGTTTGGTCATTTTGAGACAGTCTCCCTGTAGCCCCAGCTGACCTGGAACTCACTATGTAGACCAGGCTGGCCTTGAACTCACAGAGACCACCTGCCTTTGCCTCCCAAGTGCTGACAGAAATGTTTTAAAATTCATGTCAAAATTGCCAAATTGTTTTGAGTATAGTAAATGGTATTTATACTAGAGTTTTACTTAAATTTGTATTTAAGAGTGCAGAAACAAATGTTATTGTTTGTATGCATATGTGTGTGTGTGTGTACGTTTGTGTGTGTAGGTGCATGTGTGCATGTGTACATATGTGCAGAAGCCAGAGAACAACATTGTCATTCTTCAAGCGCTATCCACCTTGTTTTTTTGAGACAAGATCTCTCGTTAGCCTGGGACTCACAAAGTAGGCTAGGCTCACTGTTCAGAGAGCCCTAGAGAGATCTGCTCATCTCCTCCCTAGCACTGTGATTGCAAGTATACTCTACCACACATGGGTTCTGGAGACTGAGCTCCAGATTTTTGTGCTTCTAAGCACCTTCCTGACTGAGCTGTCACCCAAACCTCAGCAAATTTGGTTGTGCATGTGTGTGTGCGTGCGTGTCTCACAGTGCCTGTGTGGAGGTCAGAGGACAACTTCAGATATTGGCCATTCTACCTTGTTTGAGAGTGTCTCTAGTTGTTCACTACAATGCAAACCAGGCTAGGTGGACTGGGGCTTCTGGGAATTCTCACCCAGGGTCTCCTGGGATTACAGATGCTTGTGCTACTGCATCTGGCTTTTACACAGATTCCAGGTATCCAAACTTAGGTCATCAGCCTTGTGCTGCCATGCTTTTAAGCAGTGAGCCATCTCCCCAGCTCACAAATGTTTTTTTCAAAAGCTTTTTTCTTAAATGTAAAGCTGTTGAAACACATTGTGTTGTTTTTAATTAATATTCTTTGAGTACTAAGTTGGACAGTTATGCAAATGCTTATCAGCTTTGGCCTTGATTTTTATTTAATCCACATTGCTGGTTTTGTTTTAGGTTTTCTCTGTGGGTTGAAATGTCTTTGATTTTATCTGCCTCAGTCGTTCGTGTCAGAGATGGACTGCCGCTTTCTGCATCTACTGATTATGAACAAAGCACAGGAATGCAGGAGTGCAGAAAGTATTTTAAAATGCTCTCAAGGAAACTCGCTCAACTTCCTGATAGATGTACACTGAAAACTGGACATTATAACATTAAGTAAGACTTCAGTTTGTCTTATTAGAATCACTTGCCTAGTGATTGTCATTTTAATGATTTTTAAGTGGTTATAATGCAAATGTGTGTTTTGTTAATTTAGGAAAACTTGTTACAGTTAATAATCATGCTGTTCTGAACTTAAATTAGTCACGTTGTCATCAACCTTTCTTTGCAGAACCTCTGCATTTGTATCTAGCTTTAGAAAATTTTTAGTTTTGCAAATATTGCTTCTTATAAATTGCTCACCTAGGTATTTATTAGGATTTTTATATGCCCAAGATTGTAGTAGGCAATTTGTAATGAAAAATGTCCTCTAAGAACTAAAGTTTTATTCTAGTGGGAGGGGACATGGTCGATCTCCATCCCTCCCTTCCTCTATCCCTCCCTCTCTTCCTCCCCCCTCCATATATCTATCCATCCATCCATCTATCTACTAAGACTGGGTGATGGAATAGAGTGTGACTTTATCTGTGGTGGTTGAGTCCCTTTGGAAGGATGACATTTGATCAGAGACTTAAAAAATAAGGATGGAAGTTATATAAATGAAAGATGGTGTAGATGAAAAGTAAGACTAAAGTAATAGCTCATGGAGAAGCCCTTTGGTACACATCAAAAGATGGAAAAAAAGCCAGTGATGGTGAGGCATTGTGGGTAATTAGTAGAGTAGCAGAACTTCAGGTCAGAAAGATAGGAACAGGACAGGCTAATTAGGGTCTTCAAGGCCATGAAGAGTCTGTTGCTTTACTGGGCCTAATAAAATAGGGAGCCATTGGGGAGTTTTAAGCTGGAGAATTAATTCTGTGATCTGGCTTTGGCTCTGAGTAGATCAGACTGGCCACTCTGAAGAATAAAAGCAGAGTGATCCCTTAGGAGAGACTGATAGTAAAGTTGGTAGAGATGATAACTGTAATTTGAACTAGGGTGATAAGAAGTGTAATTGGATTTGGGCTGCGTTTTGGGATTAGCAACAATACCTTTCTAATAGATTTTAGGAATATGAAGGAAAAAGAAAAGTCAAGAATCACTTGTAGATTTTTGGGAAACTACATGTGTTATGGGGCTGAAATGAAAAAGACTAGAGAGGTTAATTCGATTTCATTGGTAAAAATCAAGAGTTCTGGGGCTGGAGAGATGGCTCAGAGGTTAAGAACACTGAGTGTTCTTGGAGAAGATACGGGTTCATATCCCAGCACCCACATGGCAGCTAATAACTGTCTGTAACTCTAGTTCCAGGGAATCCAACAGCCTCTTCTGTCCTCTGCGGGCATTGCACAACACAGGTGCAGTTACCTACACACAGGCAATATACACATACACATAAAATAAAAATAATAAATATTAAAAAAAAAAACAAGAGTTCCATCTGGAAATGCTAAACCCAGAGATGCCCATTACACATCCAAAGGCACTGCCAGCTGGATATATGAGCCTGAAGTTTAATGAAGAAGACAAGTGTGGGATTTAGATTTGCGAGTCAGTTTATGATTTGTAATTAAATCTGTGAATATAGATGAGACTATCTTAGCATACATAGGATACAGTTAGAGAACTTTGGAGCCACTTGATAACTAATTACATGTATAAAAGGAAATCAGATAATAACAAAGTCCATATAGGGAATATAAGCAGAGAGCTTCATTAGTGAGATGAGACATGATCTGTGTTTTGCAAAATTAAAATTTGGCTAAAGTAGGACAAGACATCACATTCAGGTATAGGGAAGGGAAGCAGAAGAAACAAGAATGTGACTCTGTCTTGGTGTTCTTGGATGGTGATTTAGGGATAGCTTTGAGACAAGTTTGATAATTATTGTGGGACCAGAACCTAGATTGCCCTGAGAATTCAAATTGAGGGAGATCTTTATGATTGGATGGGTTGCAGTTTATTGCTGCAGGTTTGAGGAAAGTCACTTGATTAAAAAACAAAACAAAACAGCCCAAAGATAGTAGAACTCTAAGTGAAATGGAAAGTTTGAAAGAGATAAGGGAGCGAGGTCAAGTTATTTTTAGAGTGCGAAGTAGAAAAATAAATGTACAAATGAAAAACAAAATGCAAAACAGGAAGATAGTTCAAGAGAAGAAATGGTCAAGTCTGATAAGGTGGCATACCCGAAATGAAGAGAAGAAAGGGTCAGAGGTGATTGAAGCCTTCAAATTGAACAGAATGATAGTGTCATTATTAGAAATGAGATCCTTAGAGGGCATTGATTAGGGATGTGAGGAAGGAGAGAGATTGTGAAGTCCAGTGTGATCTGTTAAATGGAGTTATTGCAAGGCAATCCAGTTTAGAGGGACTAGGGATTTTAGAATCATTCACAAAGGTAATTGAAATTTGAAGGTAGAAATGCCCCCTGAATTTAGAGAGGGCCAGAATAGAACCTTAGAGAATGTCCACAGTGACTTGGGTCATGTAGATAATGGTAAGATAATGGGGTATTACATTTAATTAGAATTTTAAGGATTTAACTATAAAATGAGGTGTTGATGATAGTGGTTAAATTATATCTAAAATGATGTCTTAGTCTACTTCTACTTAGGTGAAGGACAAAAACTTGAAATATTTAAATATTTTAGGTAATAGGCTCTTTTAACATGCTGGGTCATTCTCAGTTTCCTTTGGTTTTTTTCTATTTTATTTTATTTTATTTATTATTTTTGTTTTATGTGTATGAGTGTTATGCCTGCATGTAAGTAAGTACACCCGTGCCATGCAATGCCCGTGGAGGACAGAAGAGGCTGTCGGATCCCCTGGAACTGGAGTTAATGGACAGTTGTTAGCTGCCATGTGAGTGCTGGGATTCGAACCTAGGTCTTCTGCAAGAACAGTCAGTGTTCTTAACTGCTGAGCCATCTCTCCAGCCCCTCATTTGTTTTTGTGTAATGATACAGACGTGAAAGTTATGGGAGATTGGTTTGAATTACATGCTAATACTGGTAGCTATCTGGGATGAAAAAGCAAAATCTTTTTGTGTTTTTCATTATTTTGTTTTCTTTTTCTTTTTTTAACATTTTTTAATTAAATTTTTGTGATTTTCATACAATATAATTTGATGATATTTAGATCTCCTCCCCTATCTGTACCTCCTTTTATTGTCCCCAGGCCAGTTTAATATACTCCAATTTATATATTTATATATATATGTAATATATATATTATAAATTATATATAAATATATATATAAATGTGGCCTATGCAGTCTATAATTTGTGTTCTCAAATATCCTTCAGTGTGGGTCCACCCACTAGAGCCTGGGTAACCTACCAAGAGTCTCATCCTTGAAAGAGACTTTCTCTCCCTCCCAGCAGCCATCAATTGCCAAAATTTCCTTAGGTAGAGTTGGGGTTTCTTACCCACTTACCCAAGTCTGTGCTGGGATTTTTGTCTGATTTGAGCTTGCATGTTGTCACCATTGCTGTGAGTTCATATGAGTAACTGAACAACTGTCTGGAAAACTCTGTTTCCTTGTGGTCATCTGCCCTTCTGGCCCTTACAATCTTTCCACTCCCTCTTCTGCAATGATCCCTGAGCCTTGGGAGACAGAACTTTGATATAGGTGTCCTATTCATGGATAAGTACTCTGCAGCCTCTTGTTCTCTACACATTGGCCTGTTGTAGATTTCTGTGTTAATCACCATCTGCTGCATAAGGAAAATTCTCTGGTGAGAGTTGAGCATGCATTAATCTATGGGTTATTAGAAGTCAGTTTCATACAATAAATATTTAATAGAATATTAGTATTAGGCTTTTCCCTATGTCCTATGACCCTGTCTAGCCTCAGGTTCTTAAGCCTTATTTTAGCGTCATAGGCTCCATGCTATGAAGTGAACCTTAAATCCAATTAGAGAGCAATTGGTTACTCCCATAATATTCATGCCGCTATTGTACCAGTGGGGCTATCTTGCCAGATCAGTTGTTATTGTAGTTCACAGGATTCACAGCTGAGTAAGGTTTATGATTATTTTTCCTTCCCATAGCATGCAAAGCATCTTCTAGCACTATGACTGCTAACCGGTAGATGTTAGGCTCTGAAGTCAGCCCCTGCTTGATTTTTTTTCTTGTTTGTTCTACAGCTCATGTATGTAGTGTCTTCAGCAATAGGGTCTTACTGTCAAGTCCTGTTTGGTAGCCAAGAGCAAGGGCAATGGCCAGTATTGTTTGAGAGTCCATCAATACCCCTGGTCAACAGCTTCTAGAGAGGGAGCTCATTCCTGGTATTGAGGTTTTTTTTTTTTTGTTTTGTTTTGTCTTTTTCCCATTAGCCTATGATGTCTAAAAGGGGTAATGTCTCTCTGTTCTAGGGTAACTCCTTTAAATCTCTTTTTATAATGTATATGTATATACTTTAAAAGTAATATAAATGTGAGCTGGGCATGGTGGTAAATGCCTTTAATCCCAGTACTCCAGAGGCAGAGGCAGTTGGATTTCTGTTTTGTTGAGGCCAGTCTGGTCTACATAGTGAATTCCAGGATCGCTGGGGCTTCAGGGAGACCCTCTCTCTAAAACCAAAACTAAAAACCAAAACAAAGTAATATAAATGTATTAAAATTTTAATGTGCCCTGATTCTACTTATTGTGAGTTTGGGATTTTGTATTTTAACCTCTTATTACACAAAGGATTTAAGGTAATTTGCAAATACAGTAATTCAAGATGATAAATGAAGAAATCAGATGAAAGGAATGAGGATAAGAGAGTAAAAATACCGAGGTAATGGTTCCTTTTGGAGATGCAAACTACACAGTTGTGCATTTGTTAGATAAGGTCTGCAAATACTGATGTGAACAAAGCAGATGGGGCGTAGTCAATCAGCAGAATCAGTTATAGGGTTCAGTTTTCATGTTACTGAGAACTAGTATACATTAAAAAAGGACATTTGGGTAGCATTCTTCCAGAAGCCACAATAGTGAGCTTTTAATGATTTTTCTTTTTAAAAAAAATTTTTTTTAATTTTATGTGTATTAGTGTATTGCTTGCATATATGTAAGTGCACCCGTGTCGTGCA